ATATTCTTTTTAAAATTTGGAATTCTATATTATATAATATATATAATATGTAAAATCTATACAAAGTATACTATATATAATTATATAAATTATACATAATATTCAATATGTATTATGTATTATATATTACATTTTTTATATAAATGATAGATAAGATTCTTTAAAAACTTAGCAATGGACAAATGGTGATTTCATTGTGTAAAATGGTATATTATTGTGTAAAATTGCAATTCAATGTACTCACTGCCCACGCCATGCCAGCAGCAGCAGAGGTGCAGAGATTACATACAATATTATATATATATATATTATCTATATTTACTCACTGCCCACGCCAGGCTGGCCAGCAGCAGCAACAGCAGCAGTGCTGTGGTGCAGATATTATATACAATATGATATATCTATATATAGTATATAATCTATATGTACTCACAGCCCATGCCAGGCTGGCCAGCAGCAGCAATGTTGAGTTGCAGACATTATATACAATATGATATACATATATATATAGTATATAATCTATATGTACTCACAGCCCACGCCAGGCTGGCCAGCAGCAGCAGCAGCAGTGCCAAGGTGCAGACATTATGTACAATATGATATATCTATAGTATATAATCTATATGTACTCACTGCCCACGCCAGGCTGGCCAGCAGCAGCAGCAGTGCCAAGGTGCAGACATTGTATACAATATTATATATCTATAGTATATAATCTATATGTACTCACTGCCCATGCCAGGCTGGCCAGCAGCAGCAATGTTGAGTTGTAGACATTATATACAATATGATATACATATATATATAGTATATAATCTATATGTACTCACAGCCCACACCAGGCTGGCCAGCAGCAGCAGCAGTGCCGAGGTGCAGACATTGTATACAATATTATATATATATATAATATATAATCTATATGTACTCACTGCCCATGCCAGGCTGGCCAGCAGCAGCAGCAGTGCCAAGGTGCAGACATTATATACAATATTATATATATGTAGTATATAATCTATATGTACTCACAGCCCACGCCAGGCTGGCCAGCAGCAGCAGCAGTGCCGAGGTGCAGACATTATATATCCATAGTATATAATCTATATGTACTCACTGCCCACGCCAGCCCCGCCAGCAGCAGCAGCAGCAGTGCCGAGGTGCAGACATTATATACAATATTATATATCTATATATAGTATATAATCTATATGTACTCACTGCCCACGCCAGCCCCGCCAGCAGCAGCAGCAGTGCCGAGGTGCAGACATTATATACAATATGATATATCTATAGTATATAATCTATATGTACTCACAGCCCACGCCAGGCTGGCCAGCAGCAGCAGCAGCAGTGCCGAGGTGCAGACATTATATACAATATGATATATCTATAGTATATAATCTATATATAGTCACTGCCCATGCCAGCCTTGCTAGCAGCAGCAGTGCCGAGGTGCAGACATTATATACAATATGATATATCTATAGTATATAATCTATATGTACTCACTGCCCATGCCAGCCTCGCCAGCAGCAGCAATGCTGAGTTGCAGACATTATATACAATATGATATACATATATCTATAGTATATAATCTATATGTACTCACAGCCCACGCCAGCCCCGCCAGCAGCAGCAGCAGTGCCGAGGTGCAGACATTATATACAATATTATATATATGTTGTATATAATCTATATGTACTCACAGCCCACGCCAGCCCCGCCAGCAGCAGCAGCAGTGCCGAGGTGC